TCCTGGGACTCCAGGATCATGCCCTGGGCCCAAGGCAGATCCTCAACCGCTGAGCCACCCAAGCGTCCCTTGGTAAACATTTAATGAGGCCCAGAAAGGGGTTAGTGACTTAGAGTGTTAGAATACCACAGCATTTAAAAGGAATAATGAAGACACAAAGGTGAGCGTGTGTTAAATTTGGCCAGAGGAGACTCCATGGAGGGGGTGATGGGCACATGGGCAGGAAGTCAGGGCAGAAGGACCAACATGTCAAATATGCAAGTGGGAAAGAATACTGCATTATCTGGGACTGAATCTCAGACCCAAATTCAAGTTCCCAAACACATGTTTGTGTCCTGTGGGCTGTCTTCAAGGAGACTCTCAAGAATTCCTGGCTAGGGAACTTAAAAAAACAAAAACAAACAAAACCAATGCCTGGGGCTTATCCAGACCAAATGACTCCTACTAATCTCTAGCACCTTTACACAGATATTTTAAAGACATTCCCCAGGGGATTCTAACACCCTGCTTCTAGAACAGGTAGTAGCTGCCCAAGTGTGGCACCTGAAGTGTGCGAGCCCAAACAGATGTGCTCTCAAACACACAGACAGGTTTTGAAGACTTAGTAGGAAAAGAATGTAAAATACCCCATTCATAATTTTTAGTGATTACATATTGAAATGGCTGTATTTTGGATACATTGGGTTAAATACAATAGACGATTAAGATGAATTACCTTGTAGTGTGGCTACAAGGAAACCTAAAATTACGCTGAGATGTGTATTCTGTTTCTACTGGACAGTGCTGGCAAGTCCTGAATGTCAAAAAACATTACTCTTTACAAGATTTCAATTCCCCGGAGGGTGCTGTGGGGATGGGTCATTGACCTGGAAAACTGGACCTATGAACAGCTTTCTACCTGATGTGTCCTCCCTACTGGAAAAGCCCCAATGCCTTGGTGGTCTTGCCTATCCATTTTTTTTTAAAGATTTTATTTATTTATTCATGAGACACACACACATGGAGAGAGACAGGCAGAGGGAGAAGCAGGCTCCATGCAGGGAGCCCGATGTGGCGCTCGATCCCAGGACTCCAGGATCACGCCCTGAGCCGAAGGCAGACACAACCACTGAGCCACTCAGGTGTGCTGTGCCTATCCATTTAACGCCCACCCACTGGGCTTGGCTTGGGGAGCACGCCAAGTGGCCCCTCTCTGTCCCAACCTGAAAGGAAGCTTTTGCGTTCTATTTCTATTTTGCAAAGGAAACAGAACCAGAGAAGCACAAGCACCCATAGATAAACAAAAAGCTTAGCATTTCCATGACTCCTATCTGCTGAGTCCTCATCCATTATATGCCTCAAAGATGGGTCTCTACTCTAGTGGAAGTTCTGAAATAGTTCTCAAGTGTTAAAGCTTTTCTGGGAGGTGGGGAAGGAAGGGAGAAGGGGGAAGGAAGGGGGAAGGAAAGCTCTCTATTTGCAGAGCGCTGAACCATGTGTTTTGCATTCTGTGTTTATTAGCAGCCTATTACTGCTATAACAAATTGCCACAAACTTAGTGCCTAAAAACAATACAAGTTTTTATCATCTTACAGTTTCAGAGGTCAGACAGGTCTTCTTGAACTAAAATCGAGGTGCCAGCAATGCTGCATTTCTTTCCAGAGGCTCTACAGACAACTCCACTCCTTGCCTTCTCCAGGACGCCCATATTCCTTGGCGAGGGGCCCCTGCTTCCACCTCAAAGCCAGTCACAGCCAGCAGTCCCCCAGCAGACCATCCCTCTGATCTCCTCCCTTGCCCCCCTCCTCCTACATTGCAAAGGCCCTGGGAATACACTGGGCCCACCTGGCAAAGCCAGGATAATCAGCCTATTTTAAGGTCAGCTGGTTAGTATTTTCTTACCAAGTGTGATAAAGTACTCACAGGTTCCAGGAATTAGGATGTGGACATCTTTGAGGGGTAGCCTACCACAGCGTTTCTATATACCTTAAAACAGCTATAGGGGGCGGGTGGAATGAATCTCTATTTTTACAGATGAGGAAATAGATTCAGGAGTTAAGCAACTTGCCCAGGGGCAAAGGCTAATAGCACTCAGGTCCACCTGCCTATAAGTGCGTCACATGATATTCCATCATTTTTCTCTCTCTTTAAGATTTTATTTATAGGACACTTGGGTGGCTCAGTGGTTGAGGCTCAGGGCATGATCCTGGAGTCCATAGATCGAGTCCCGCATCAGTCTCCCCACAGGGAGCCTGCTTCTCTCTCTGCCTCTGTGTGTCTCTCATGAATAAATAAAATCTAAAAAAAAAAAAAAAAGATTTTATTTACTTATTTGACAAAGAGAGTAAGCTCGAGAGCACATGCTCACAAGCAGTGGGAGTGGCAGAGGTAGGGGGAGTGGCAGAGGGAGGAGAAGCAGACTCCCCATCACGGAACTGGAAGTGGGGTTCGAGCCCAGGACCCTGAGATCGTGACCTGAGTTGAAGGTAGATGCTTAACTGACTGAGCCACCTAGGTGCCCTTATATCTTTTTTTTTTTACAGGCTAGTTTCAGGTTCAAAATGCAGATATACTGGATTCTCTAACATTCTGTATTCAGAATGTTACAACAACGAAAAGCCAATACTATTGTGTCATCTCCATTTTGAAAAGGGGTTTTATCACCAAAAGGGCTAAAGTTGTGGTAAAGAATAGACTGACTTTCTGGACACTCTCTCTGGAATTATACACACACACCATGTAACAATCACAAGTACCAGCTACACAAAGGAAGCATGCCTGCTCTTCCTTAACACTCCTGACTGGGGTGGGGAAAGCACCTTTGCAAAATGGGGTATGGTCTGTCAAGAAAACTAATATGGAAGCATTTTTCCTGCTTCTGATCCAGGGGCCCAAGAAGAAAGGCAAGACTGATGACAAATTCTAAGCAAGTCAAAATGCTTCCCTGCAACACAGGGCACTGTGGGCAACATGAAGACAGAAGCAGTATATTCCAAAGGGAAGGTGAATCTATGAACTGGATGTGCTTTTCTGTCCACAAGGAGACTTGTAAGTAGCAACCTCAGCTCTCTGGCTCCTTTCCACCAACAGGGCCTTGCTGGCAGCTCACTAGATATTTCTGGGAGCGAGCTAATTAAATATTAACCATGCACAAAATCTTTATCCTCCATCCCTCAATAAGTCACTCTGAAGACAAGCAAACCTAGATGCTAAACCCAAACTGCCATCTATCCAGGAAAAAAAGGGGGGTCAGCAAAGGGTAAATCCTATGAGATTCACCCATTACACAGTTATTCATTATTAAGTAACCCTCTCAGTCTCTAAGAAAAACCCTAGAAACTAGAAAAACAAACAAACCCATAAAACAAAAAACACCTGCTTGTTTACCAAACCAACCACTAAAATGCGTGGATCTATATCAGAGATTTTTTCTCTTTGACGTTAAAGGAGATTGTCCTTGATTTATAATAACTTAAAGAGTAAGCTCAGTGAAGCTGGCCTTTTAATACCATCTATGTAACAATCAGACCTCTTTATACCTCCTCAAAAGCACGGGGGGGGGGAATAAAAAATCAGTGAATAAACATCCAGATTCTCTCTGCCAATTAAATTTTCTTCTCCATTCTTGCATAAATTCCTGCCACAATTATTTATGTATTACTGACTTTAAGTTAAATACCACATTTGTTTTTTTTTTTTTTTTTGATGGGTTATCCGGGCTGAAAATAGGCCAGATGATGAGGATTCCCCAGGATAAATTAATAATTTTCAGGTAGGCTGGTTCCAGCACTTGGTTTCCATAAAGCCTTGGTGTCCCCAAATCTCATCATCCCTTTCAGTGCTGATCATAAGCACAATGGTCAGAGGGTCCCTCTGAGTTTTCCTTAATCCAAAACGAAAGCTTTTGTAGTAGACTGCACGTAGGTAACTTGATTTGAAAGCAGCCGCGGAAGTCACTGCTGTAGGCAGGGCCAGGTGGGAAGAACTCGGCCCAGCACCCAGAGGTCACCACACCGCTTACCACACCTCCAGACGGGGCAGGAGGGGGCCCTTCCACTTCCTTTATTTCTAAAGTAAAGTCTTTCTGCTCTTTCAGTCTTGGTTGACTTATTTTGGCCAATAAACAAATGCGCTCTCCCCCCCCCCCCCCCCAGGCAGAAGAACACCTCAGTATGTGTAAGATAAAAGGGAACAGAAAACCAGCAGCACAGCGGCGGCGGCGCTGGGCGCTCTCAGCGGGAACACGCGCACCCATGCACCCCCATCGCGGCTGAATTTTGAAAATGACCTTCCCAGGATGGGCGCGCGGGAAGCGCAGGAAGGGAGCCCTCGCAAGTGTCCGTCCGTCCGTCTGTCTGTCAGGCGCCCGCACTTAACGAGGGGGCGTGAACCTACCCTACGTGGGCCGGCGCTCAGGCAAACAAGTCTGGCTACAGACGTGAAACTTCTCGCTCGGCGGGCAAGATACCGCGCGGCCCCGGGAAGCAGCTCGGCGGAGAGGAAACTGGGAGCTGCCTTCAAGGAAATGCTCTGCTCCCCCGAGGAGGGAGCATCTCACACGGCCTGCGAGGAGGAGGCGGGGGCCGTCCGCTGGAGCCGGGGCGGGGGGGGGGGGGCGCAGCTCCGCCAGCTCCGAGAGATCCAGGCGGGCCCCGCCGGAGGCGCGCCTAGGCCCGGGCGCACCTGCCCCCACCTGGTCACCGACGCGCCCCGCCTGCCCCGCGCCTGGGTCTCCCGGCCGCCTCGCCCCCTCCACCCGGGCCGCCCGGCCACCTCGCTCCCCCTCAGCCCCGCACCCCGGCCACCTCGGTCCCCAGCGGCCTCTCTCCGCCCCATCCCCGGCGCGCTTCCGGTTCACCTGCGCGCGGGCGGCCGCGGGGGGGGGCGGCGGGGGGGGCCGGGGCGCAAGGTGGCCCGGGGCGTCCCGAGCCCGGGAGCTGCGGGGGCGCGTGCGAGGGGACCGGGGAGAGGGCGCCCCCCGCCCGCCCGCCCGCCCGCCCGCCCGCGGCCCTGCCGCTCGCCTGGGTCTTGTCGAACTGTTCGCGCTCGGCCTCCAGGCTGTGGCCCGGCCTGCGGCTCAGCACCCGCGCCGGGACGCTCTTGATGCTATTCATCCTGCTGCTGCTGCCGCCGCCGCCACCGCCCGCGGTCCCGGCCCGGCTCCGGCTCCGGCTCCGAGCGTCTGAGCGCGTCACCGCAGCCCGCCCCAGCCTAGGCACCGCGAGGCCGCCTCAGGGCGCCCAGCCGTCCCGCCCTGCCCCGCCCCCGCCCCTGCTCCTGCCCGCGGGGAGCCCGGGCCTCCCCTCGCCCGCCCCGGCCCCGCCCCGGCCCCGCCCCCGCGGGGCGGAGCCCCGGCCGAGGCCCCCAGCCCCTCCACACCTCTGCCCACGTTCTCCTCCCCGGATTCACTAGGTCCTGTCTCCACCAGAGAAGGACCTGGCTAACTGCAGAAAACTTGGCCTTAATGAATCTGACCAATGGAAGCACAACTAGACATTTTTTCCCCTTCTTAATCTTATATTAATGTATGTGTGAAAAGGCATACAAGTAAGCCGTCCCCTTTGTGCATCTCTAACGTTAACAGCAGGGGCCTATCATCGTCGTGGGCTGTGGGATGAATCCTCAGAGGCTGCAGGCCTGGGACAACCTGCAGACAGATCTGAACACAACACGGTGCTGGACCATCAAAGTGCATCGAAAAGATGCCACAGGAGGAGGTCGTGTGAGACTTTACAAAACACTGTTCTTGATTTGCTTTTTAAATTATCCAAGACTGGGGATCCCTGGGTGGCGCAGCGATTTAGCGCCTGCCTTTGGCCCAGGGCGCGATCCTGGAGACCCGGGATCGAGTCCCACGTCGGGCTCCCGGTGCATGGAGCCTGCTTCTCCCTCTGCCTGTGTCTCTGCCTCTCTCTCTGTGTGTGTGTGTGTGACTATCATAAATAAAAAAATAAAAAATAAAAATAAATTATCCAAGACTGAAATAAAAAAAAAGTGTATCTATATACCTCACAGTTCTCCCAAGTGTATGCTATCAAACGGTTAGTTACTACTATCCCGTTTTCCTCTCAGAATGTAGGTATGAGATCACCCAGTACAGGTACTAAGGACTCCCCTTGAAGAGTGAGTGATGCCTACGTAACCCTGAAGGTGGTCTCCCTCTCCAAAACTTCATAGATTAATCTCTGCTTGCCCCAAAACTGACACTGGATGGATACTTGAAAACTGTATTTGACAAGGCTCTCTTCTGACTCCACCAAAAATAAACTAACCATGCTTTATCTAATTCTAATCCCTGAAAAGTGTCTTTACCAGAATAACAATGGCTAATATTTATTGATGGCTTATTATTTGCCAGGAACTGAGCTAAATCCTTCACATGTACTGTTTCATCTTTAATCCCCAGCACCCTGGTCAACAGCTGTGTCCAAATAAAGACCACAGTAAAGGGGCTTGCTGGCTCCAGACCAGCTGTTTCTCAGACTCCTTTTTCCACATGAACAAAAGCAAGTTATCCTGTGACCTTTATATGTAACACAGCATCTTCTTTCAAAACAGGCAACAACTCCTCTAGGTCTAGAACATCTGCCACAGTGACTTCATATCAGCAATCAACTACCTCTCTTTTTAATAACAGTTTATTACTGGGACCCAAGAGTACTTTACTAAAATATCTCTAATGAATTATAATTTATCTGCTTGTATGTAAGCTTTTGAGCTCCTGCAGGGCAAGGAGCACCCCATCTTACTCCATTTTATAATCTCAGTGTCTAGCAGGATGTCTGGTACATTAGCAATGTTCAATAAATGTGTGTGAAATGCAGGGTTGAAAGAGTAAAGAACCCCCCATAGCAGGGATACTTGGGTGGCTTAGTGGTTGAGTGTCTGCCTTCGGCTCAGGGCGTGATTCCAGGGTCCTGGGATGGAGTCCCGGATCAGACTCCCTGCAGGGAGCCTGCTTCTCCCTCTGCCTATATCTCTGCCTCTGTCTCTCATGAATTAAAAAAATAATAATAACCCCCCATAATTTGGTTCACTTCAACATATGGCTTAGTTTTTTAAGATAAGCAGCCTAGGACACAATGTTTCCCCCTCTGAATTTGCTGGGGTTCATCTCTGGTAATGCTGTTAGGCAAGAGACCTGGTTCTAGTACTGGTTCCATCACTGGTTGGCTGAGATTCTCCATGTCATCAAAATCAGGGCGCCATTTTGGTGTACTTCCAGAACGGTTTCATGCTTCCCACAGGCTATTAGAAAGGCAAAGAATTTGGGTTATGAATGCCTCATTTTAAGGAAAACCCAAGAAAGATGAATAGCAGCGTTTATATCATTAGGCTTACTGAAATGATGGGGCTGCAGTCCCCACACTGCCTCACTGGTACATGTGTGTATGGTCTGGTCCCAACCTCCCTGTCCAGCTTCATCTTGTGCCATCCTAGTCCATCAGGTCTGAAAATGCATCATGCTCCTTTCCACCTCAGGGCCTTTGCGCCTGCTGTTACCATTGTCAGGAATGCTCTTCCTCTTCCTGTTTCCTGGGTTAGCATCTATTTATTTTTCAGCTTCCCTGAAGCCTCCGCCCTTGACCTATGCCCTTGATGTATGTTGTCACAGTAGCTCCAAGCTTTATTTCAGAGCACTTACCAGTTTTTCATGATCTATTTGTGATTATTTAATTAAGGTCTGTCTCCACTGTAAACAAGGATTCAGTCTGCTTTGCTTACTGTTGTGTCTCCGATGGCCAGCAAGCAGTACTTACTGTGTGTTCAAATTATTTTGAGGTTTTTTTTGTGGTTAGATGTCCTAAGTGTGTATTTGGCTGAGAACCCAGAAATCATCTTTGATAGGACTGATTAATGTGCCCTCCTCATTTGATAAACTCCTCTCAAAGATCACTACCTACCTTGTCTGCTGTGGTCCCGATTAATTCATCTGGTTTCCTAGTTTGAACCAACCTTACCCCACTGAGCCTCTCAATACCATGCTTTCCTACTACAGCTTTTTAGGTAAAACTGTTTGTTGTTAATGTTTACATATTATCTTGACTTAGAATTTCTTTCTTTGGGGGTATTTCTCTTTAGAAAACCTGTTCACAAATTCTAAAAGTACCCTTACAACACCAGTCTCTTTTGATGGCTGAGATCATTTCTGGCAGGCGAATTACAGCACCATTTAGCTGCCTCCTAAGATGGAAGAGTATGGAAGAGTATTGATAACAAAATATAAATGCTTAGTTTTTATCTCGCAACTCTTTTAAACAGACCGAGGCTGACTCTCCCTACCAGAAACTGCTCACATATTTAATAACTTAGGCTGAGAGAGATAAATTGGTATTAATATAAAGATTTCCCATTTTTTAGTTGTATGTGCTACAATTCACAACATGATAGAGTAAGATAGATACTGCAGATACTATAATCCTATGAGCTCAAATATATTTAGCCACAAAATAACTTTTGACTTTCTTCATCCTTTAGTTCCCTGAAATTTTCCTACTTATTAGCATCTCATCAGTGTTCTCCTTCTCTCTTCACTGGGCAAGCTGACAGGTAGCCACGAACCTAGCATAAAGAGAAGGGAGAAATTTTCATATTTTGTTTCTCAGCTGGAAATCAGCCTCTCCAGGGATATTTTAGGCTTCCAACAGTTCAGAATCAACTGTACCTTTTTCAGACTTCCTCTGCACAAACCAGCCATGCCTGAGGGAGAAAGCAAGCATTTATAAAGAACACAGCCAAACCTCACCCAATTTCTCTTTTCAGCACCCTAATTAAAAAGGCTAAATGGGGTGGCTCCTCCACTCTCATGAAAATCATCTCTGAAGTAGCACTGAAACCTTTCAACAAAGGGGCATTTATACAGCACAATAGAACCTTGATATCTGCAATGCTTAAAAAAAATACATTCCCATTCCCAAGGAAATTAACTTGCCAGGTTCAGTTTCAAGCAACTAACCTTCCTTTTTTTTTTACTCCTTTATGATAAAAAGAAATCCAAGAAAATTATTTTTCTTTATTATTAAAAATATTTTTTATTGACTGAAGCTGATCAATTTTCTTAGAAGGGACAGAAATGCACATAGTATATTCTTTTAAAAAATTAAATTACAAGTTAAAAGGGAAGTGTTTTAGTCTTTAATGATAAAAAAAAATGCATACAAAACTTGCAAGTTTTTGTTTGTGTAAGTAGATGGGACCTATTACAGACCCAGACGAGATGGGGCTCTGTTCAGCTTTGGGACAGAAGGACCTCAACTGTCAGTAACAGAGGAGATACTTTCCAGTTAAAAATATTTTGTATCCTATCATTTTATGTCTTTTTTACATAGCAAAGTCCAGAGCTAAAGCCACAAAAGAAGAGAATACCACTTCTCATATATTTGCAGGTGACTCTAATAGGCTGTTAGTTATAATTTAAAGCACAGGTTTTTTTAAAAAATCATAGTTAAAATAGCATTTTGTATACAGGGGTTCTCTATTTGATGTCCACATTTTTAAAGAGCTCTCTAGTACTTAACTGTAGTCTACATCTTTACAGAGAAGTCCTTTTCTCTCTAAGCATAATTCCAAGTTTGTATATAGATAAATACACAGTAAGGTCTAATTTCTTACACATAAAAAATATATCTTCAACATGAAAATGGTCAACTTGAAAACAAACAAAATATAGATGCTGAAAAATTAACTTTCAGTTTCTGCTTCCCTTGGGTATTAAATGTTGCTTACAAAGGATTACAATCCCCTTCTTGTTTTCAAGGTTAGGTATTAGGTATTGATGTCCGCTTCCTGCCTTCCGAAGATGAGAAATTGGCTTCTGCAAGAAGGAAAGAAACACAGAGTTAATAAAAATCGAGTGGAGAGCATTGGGTACTGTACTCTAAGTTCCAGTCTCTAAAAAATTAACTATACGTCTTGATTTTTATCTTCCTAAGGTCACGCAAAATACCATAAATCTGAAAATTTCTCAGCAGAGAAAGAACAAGGGAGAGGAAGAGGGCTACCTACACTCACTGCTTTCACAGAGTTCTTGACGTGCTCTCTTTTACCATGAAAGCATCTGAAATGAGTATACTTTTTAACTTACCAAACTGGATTCTGAAGAAACTTTGTATTTGAAATGCAGGTTTGATAGAAGGAAACACAAATCAAGAAAATACTTACTACATCAATGAATCTTTTTTTTTTAAGATTTTATTTTTAAGTAATGTCCACACCCCACATACGGCTCGAACTTACAACCCTGAGATCAAGAGTCACATGTTCCGTGAACTGAACCAGCCAGGCACCCCACTCAATGAACCTTTTTATAAAACCTGAAACCCCAGAAAAGACTTCTTTCCAAAAAGACATCCAAATGAAATGCTGATTTTTTTTTTCTTTAAGAAAGAGGCAGCAGGGAAGGGCAGAGGGAGAGGAACAGAGAATCTTAAGCAGGCTCCATGCCTAGCATGGAGCCTGATGCCAGGCTCAATCTCATGACCCTGAGATCATGACCTAAGCCAAAATCAAGAGTTGGATGCTTAACCAACTGACCTACCCAGGTGCTCCTAAAATGTTAATGTTAATTTAGATTCTGACTTTGAAAACTGTCTGTATTCATTTCCTTGTGTTTAAAATTCTAGGTATTGAGAACAAAACTATTTGATCTTCATTTCTCATACAAACAATTGACTTTTACTGATTAAATTTAGAAGGTATGTATAAATAGGTCAAACAAGAGAAAGGATTATAGGTCAAACAAATGCATGGCCTTGACTCTATTATCAATGTTCCCAAGTTACTTATTAAATATCAAATGAGCTTTAAGAGGAGATAAACAAAGGTGACTTACCTATGACCACAATGAATAGTGAAGTTGACTTTTGTTTTCTTCAATTACTAATAAAAGTATTTTTTTGAGCGGACTCTTCTGAGACTTCTAAATTCTACAAAACAACTTCAAAATTAGTACCCAGGAGAGAAAAACTGGACAATACTTAAGACAATACACAAATATAGGGGCGCCTGGGTGGCTCAGTTGGTTAAGTATCTGCTTTCGGTTCAGGTCATGATCCCAGAGTCCTGGGATTGAGCTCCCTGCTAAGTGGGGAGTCTGCTTGTCCCTCTCCCCCTGCCCCTCCACTCCCTACTCGTTCTAATAAATAAAATCTAAAAAAAAAAAAAAAAAAACCAAAAAACAAACACACACAAATACAGCAGAAATGCCCTTAAAATACCTTACAGAATTAATGAAATATAATGAAGTAATTTCATACAACTAACATCCTTCCAGCAAAGAGGTACTGATTTCCTATTCATGTGTGCAGCCCTTTTCCTGTCTCTAACTGCCTAGTAGGAAGGCTTTGTTTGCTTTACAATGTGTGTTATTCCTTAAACAATGGCAATCAACTAATGCCCAAATAGAACTGGCTCTTTATCACAGCCTTAACATGGACTGTGTTGAGCCCTTAATGAGACAGTGGTCCTCAATAAGAGTGAACAACTCTTAAGTGCCACTGTTAAATTATAAGTAGTTACTGAGGACTTGGTTAGCATTGTCAGGTGTTTGGGGAGATATTTTTAAAAAGAAGAAGAAAAAAAAAAGGACAGAGGAGTATGATACCTGGAAAGACACTGGTAGACTCAGGTGGTAAACTCTAGCTTGCAGGATAAGCCACCTCCTCAGCATCTTCCTCCTCCCTTTGGGACCTACATTTGAGCTAGTGAGGGTTATTCTCTGGGCTTTCATTCATGCTGCTTCCTCTCTGCTCAAGCAGCCTTCTCATGAATTTTATAATCTGATGTATTTTATTAATTTAAAAACATGATTCTAATGGGAGAAGATAGTTGTGAAAGACCTAGAGGATAAAGGGCTAGTATCCAGAATCTATAAAGAACTCATCAAAACTGACACCCCAAAAATAATCCACTTAAGATATGGGCAGAACACATGAACAGACATTTCTCCGAAGATGATATCCAGATGGCTAACAGACACATGTAAAAATGCTCAGCATCACTCATCAGCAGGGAAATACAAACCAAAACCACAATGAGATACCACCTCACCCCCTGCTAAAATGGTTAAAATTAACTCAGGAAACAACAGGTGTTGGTGAGGATGTAGAGAAAGGAGAACACTTTTGTACTGTTGGTGGGAATGCAAACTGGTGTAGCCACTCTGGAAAACAGTATGGAGGTTCCTCAAAAAGTGAAAAATAGAGCTACCCTATGACCCACCAATTGTACTACTAGGTATTTATGCAAAGGATACAAAAATGCTGATTCAGGGCAGCCCAGGTGGCTCAGCGGTTTAGCACTGCCTTCAGCCCAGGGTGTGGTCCTGGAGATCGAGTTCCACGTTGGGCTCCCTGCCTGGAGTCTGCTTCTCCCTCTGCCTGTGTCTCTGCCTCTCTCTCTCTCTCTGCGTCTCTCATGAATAAATAAATAAAATCTTAAAAAAAATGCTGATTCAAAGGGGTACATCTACCCCGATGTTTATAGCAACAATATCCATAATAGCTAAACTATGGAAAAAGCCTGGGTGTCCATCCACAGATGTATAAAGATGTGGTATATATACACAATGGAATATTACTCAGCCATCAAAAAGAATGAAATCTTGCCATTTGCAACAACGTGGATGGAGCTAGAGGGCATTATGCTAAGTGAAATAAGTTAGAGAAAGACAAATACCATATGATTTCACTCCTATGTGGAATTTAAGAAACAAAACTGATGAACATAGAGGAAGGGGAGGAAAAATAAAATAAGATAAAAACAGAGAGGAAGGCAAACCATAAGAGGTTGTTTTTTTTTTTTAATTTTTATTTACTTATGATAGTCACAGAGAGAGAGATAGAGGCAGAGACACAGGCAGAGGGAGAAGCAGGCTCCATGCACCGGGAGCCCGACGTGGGATTCGATCCCGGGTCTCCAGGATCGCGCCCTAGGCCAAAGGCAGGCGCCAAACCGCTGCGCCACCCAGGGATCCCAAGAGGTTGTTAACTATAGAGCACAAACTGAGGGTTGCTGGAGGGGAGGAGGGTGGGATTAGGATGTGCTAAATGGGTGACGGGTATTAAGGAGGGCACCTGTTGGGATGAGCACTGGGTGTTGCATGTAAGTGAAGAATCACTCAATTCCACTCCTGAAACCAATACTATACATACATTAACTTGAACTTAAAAAAAAAATAAAGAATACATATCAAAACGAAGATTATTCAAAGAGGATCTGTAGGCTTTACCAGCCTGCCACAAAAAAAGGTTAAGAATCCTGGTGGACAACACTAACAGTCTCAAACTAGCGATGAGGATGTACAGTCCCATGTACTTGTCAAACAGTCCAAATTCAGATTCCAGGTGAATCCCTCCCCATTCCCACCCCTCAAGTAAGTAGAAAGCCTGCTGCAGGGTAAGGTGATATGGTCAGCTGTGCTGCATTTTACTCTTTCCTTTTTTCTCTCTTTTTTAAATTATTGGGGCTATTTTTTTAATAGTTAAAACACTGACATTAAATAGTATATATTCTTATTCCCACCCCCTTTTTGTATATGTGATCAATACCATAGGAACCTTTCAGCATCTTGCTTCTATTCACTTAATAACATATCCCAGAAGTATTTCCACTCTAAGACTTTCCTCATTATGTTTTATGGCTAAGTAATATTCCACCCGGTGGACATACCATTGCTACTCCCTCAGTTTCTTCTTGCTGGACACTTGGATTGTTTCCAAATTTTTGCTATTTTGAAGCAGCGCTGCAACAAAAAACTTGTACATGTTCCACTTTATACACATGTGGATGTACTCATAGGAGAGATTCCCAGAGCAACACTACTGTATCAAAGGATCAGTTCTGCAATTTTTAGGAAACAGTGCCAAGTTCCCTGCCAGAAAGTTTGAATCACTCTGTGCTCCCCCAACGAAGTCTAAGTGTGCATTTCAGAAAAAGGCTTTGAAATAAGACCCTTGTTCTCAGCACCAGATGGCAAAAATGGTGAAACAGGCCACGCAGAACTTTATCCCGCTTACTTGTTTTTTTCTCTAACTAGCTATACCCCATTCACAGGACCAGAGGGAGGGAGTCATTAAGTATGTTGCCAAGTAGATTTCTGTTGTTGTTTTTTTAAAGATTTTTTTTTTTTTATTAGAGAGAGAGCCAGAGCACACAAGCAGGGGGAGACGCCGAAGGAGAGGGAGAAGCAGACTCGCCACTGAGCAGGGAGCCTGACGCCCAGGATCCCAAGACCCCAGGATCATGATCTGAGCTGAAGGCAGACAGATGCTTAATGGACGGAGCCAGCCAGGTGCCCCTAGATTTCTGTTAATTGAATTGTTTTTGCAACATTTCCAGAATTAATTAATAATCTTCTGGAAAATTTATTACATCCGAAGCCAGTATTATTTTCCAAATAATTCCAAATGATTATCTAGTTCCAGCTGTGGCACATTAAGTACGAGATTTAATCACTTTTCCTTACCCATGAGATGTAAGGTTGAGATTACGTACCTATTCTGGGTCTTTCTAGCTCAAAAATTCTCTGAAACCAAGTTTTTGCCAACTTCAAGAGCTTTAGCATTTTTTCAGTCTATACCTGAGGTTACTGTTTTGTCTTTATCCTGTTTTTTTTTTTCCTATCAGGTCTATTCCAGGTATTTACTGAATCTCTGTAGCAGGTACTGCATGTGCTACAACCAGGAATGCCAAGATGAGTAAGGGGGGGTTACTGAAGATGCCCATGGAGGACAGGAAGAAACGCACGCAGTCTGCTATCATGCATGTAGTCTGCTTACATGCTCACAGACACACATAGCTGTGCCATGAGGACAG